CTCCTCCTCCTCCTCCTCCTCCTCCTCCTCCTCCTCCTCCTCTGTGATGACCCAGAGTGTAACACAAACGTAACAAAATCCAAAACGTAAATAAATGTCCTTGAATGCCTCCAACTTGGCCCCACTGTTCAATAATACTCAGTTGGAGATAGTCTTCAAAAGAAAGCAATACAGTCCGAACTTAATGAGCAGATAGAGGTGAAATAAAAAACCAAACAAACTACAATGATGAAATTTCCACAATGGAGCAGAAGTATTTACCAAATTCAAGGAGATAACAAGGAACAGTCTGTTGGAAGGACGCCAACCAGGATAACTTCAGACCAAAATAAAACACGCTTTGTTTCCAGCGTTTGCCAGTACGCAAGTCCAAACTCTTATTCAGTTGTCACAGCTGCAGCCCATGAAGAGGATCAAGGCCCTCTCCTCCCAAGGAGACCACGTCTCTCCCTTATCCTCTCCTCCCTGCGTGCCCTAGGATGGAGAGGGGATGGGCCTGGGTCCTCCTCTGACTGCCCAGGCGGTCTCTTCCCTTCCCCAGCCTCCTCCACAACCTCCGGAGCCACACTTCCAAGTCCCTGTCGGCTATTCCTCCTCTCCCTCAGAGCCAGTCTCCACCAGGGGCATGACATCCTCTGTTTTGGTTACTAAAGGGGCCTGTGGCCGACAGGCCACAACAAGAGCAATTGGCCCTCATCCAGCTGAACCTTGGTGTTCAAAAAACCCGACCCACAAAGCAGGGAAGTCCTTTTACACCGAACACACTTACTAGCTTGGCAAATGACCCCCCCCCCCCCGTGTTTTCAGCTCTACATATGGCAGGATAATCACAGGTTGGAATGCTTCAGGATGCTCCGAGCAGAGTAGCTGGAGACGGGAGAGGCATTATCTCCTCGCCACGTAAAAATAGAGCTATTTGGATTGCTATCTGGGCAGAAAATGACCTCCAAACAGCAGGGGGGGTTTCTCCATTAAACTCGGAAGTTTCCCACCGAATGCAAATGCGCTCGCTTTGCTGGAAACAGCCATCTCTCCAGCTGGATGGTTTTAGCCAAAAGATATGAATCAAAAACGCTTTGAGGTCGTGTTGTCGAAACACCATGCCTGGAGAGAAATCCTGAACTAACCAGGTCTTTTTTCCCCTCAAATCTCCTCGGAGAGCAATTGCACAGCCTGGTTCCCATCAAAGCCGATCCAACGGCCGATCCATTTCCCGGGGAGACGAGTCAGCAGTTATTGATGCATCAGCCGGACTGGTTCTGGAATTGTCGGAAGATGGGTTCTGACCACGGGATAACACCCATGCTGTGGATTGAGACTTTGGGGGGGGGGGGAGGAAAACAACCCCCCCAGGAGAGAAATAAAATTTGGAGCCAGGGTCCACAGGAGAACGGAAAGAGACTTTCACCTGCATCTGAATTCCTTCTAAAGTGTGTCTGTTTATGCGAGGTGCAAATTTCATAGAACGTATAACACAGAATAATAGAGTTGGTAAGGACCTCGGGAGGTCATCTAGCCCAACCCCCTCCTGCTCGAGCAGGACACGCTCTAACATTTCAGACAAGTGGTTTCCCCAGTCTCCACAACTTCTGGAGGCAAAGTTGTTCTACTGATTAATTGTTTACACTATCAAATTCCTCCTTAGTTATAGGTTGTTTCTCTCCTTGGTTAACTCCCCTCATCTTTGTAGGAGCCCCTTAAATATTGGAACCCTGTTATCGTATCACCCCTAGTCCTCATTTTCACTAGACTAGACATACCCAATTCCTGCAACCGTTTTTCGTACATTTCATCTCTGCCTCAATTAAATAGTTCATTTCTCCATGCTTTGCAGGCCAGATTTTAAGGCAAGGCTGATAATTCTTGCATTTGTTTTTCTTTCCCAGGACACTGAGGTCTGGGAAGGCAACTCCTAATTTCTTATTCTCAGCTTGCACAATTACCTGTAAATGGCCCTCCTTGTTTAGAAAGCATTCTGGAATCCAAAAAAGCACAGGACTGAATTTTTAAACACAGATTTTAAACACGGGAGGCCCAACCCTTTTTGCAGGTCTAGCTTTAGTTGTTTTCTTAGTGTCATCTAAGCTTTAAAAAAAACACCACGAAATAGCTGCTTTCTGATTAAAGATGTGCAAAGCCCCGAAGGAATTTAGCAGGTGAAGAAGGTAGGAAGGGACGGGAGAAAAAGAGTTCCTTTCCTTTTAACCACAATGGGACAAAAGCCGTTGTCAAAATACACAGCTCAAGAAAAATTGAAGAATGTCAAGGACAGACAGCTCTGTAAAGACAAAGGCCTCAATTACCTGAATTTTCCCCCAGGCTGTTAAAGCTCCCCGGTTTATAAGTAAATCTGTAAACAGTCCATTGTATTTTGTTCATAAGGGCTTGTAAAGGGATTACTGTAAAACGGTGCCAATTGCCTCTTAATTCTGCCAAAAATGTTTCTAAATAAGATCTTAATTGGCCTGGTTTTTTGCTCCTTGCTAAAAGTAATGA